TATCCTTCAGTAATTTTGTTAATCTATCCATTTCTGTGTATTGATATATCTTATTAATCATTGTGGCTCCTGGGGGGGATCGTAGCCTGCTTCCAATTTGGGGCGAAAGAAATTCTGGCCGCCGTTATTATATGGAGCATCACATATTGGTATTTTCTGTGCATGTTAGGTTCTAACATTCCTAATAAGAAGATTTCTGGTTTAAATTTCATTCTCTGTTTCGTTATTTCCTCTAACCATGATCCAATTTTTTGCCAGTGTCTCTGTGGATGAGGGCACATCCACCACATATGGAAGTATGTTCCCTGATTACGATTGTATCTCCAACCTTTGGGTATCATTTGGAAACATTCTGGCAATTCTGGCTGGTGGAAGGTGTCAGTGGTATAACATTTTATATATATTCTCTTTATAAGAGACCGACAATGTTAATTTATAATTTACTTGCCAAATGCCTTCCCACTGTTCCAAATTAATGCTGTGGCCTATATTTTTAGCCCAGGTTATCATACTTTCTTTAACAGTTTCTTCTTTCATTTTTTACTAATCATTTTTTTCCTCAACGCCTTGTAACAGTTTGTCTAGCTCTTGCTGAGTTGTGTAAAAATTAAATTGTTCTTTATGTTTTTTGTAACGAGTTTGAACTTGCATGTAGGGCCACCATCTTATTTCAATTCCCTGTAATTCTAGTTGATTCTGCGTTTTTAATTCCCCCATTTCATTTAACAAATCTCTACATTTTATCATTTTATTAAAATCGGAGGTGTTGAGATACATTAATGCATCCATTGTCAAAAACCATAATGGCACCTTCATATAGTAGTTCTTTTTTAGATTCTCCCAAATGGATAACAGAGTGTTTCTCACCCAATGTCTTTGGAAGTATTTACTCTTCCCATTCCAAAGAAATGCCGCCAATTTGTAACTCGTAACCTTCTAATGTCAATATCCTTTTATCTGTTAGATTAGTTTGTGTTTAATTACGTTTGAGGAAGCCTGGGTCAGAACAGTGTGTGTGTGTCCCCTGACCAAAAGACAGTGGAGAGAAGTCAACCAAGACCAAGAAGAAGAAGACAACGTGGTGCAGGCCAGGAAGATATTTATTATTATTATTATTGTATACAAGCAGAGCCCAATCTGGAAAGGCCAGACACGTTTCTGCTTAGCGGGAATAGCTGGAAATGATCTGCAAAGCAAAACCCACGATCCGGCATTAGGGAGTTGTGTGAGGGGACGCTGATTTGTGAGCGTGCAAAAAAGCAATGGCCTGACCCACAAAGCTTGGTTTCTCTCACTTGGCCGAGGTGTGGAAAAAGGGAAGGGCGGTTTGGAAGACCCCTGGCATCGCCCGAGTGGAAACGTGGAATGAATTCTCCCCCTTGGAGGGGAAGGGACGGACACCGGGAGCTCTGAAGAGGGAAAGAGGGGGCTCTCCCATGCTCCCCCCCCACCCTCCCCTCTGATATGGGGGCTGGGCAATACCTGTTCGATCCAGGGGATGAAAGCAGAGACGCGCGTGAAGACAGTGGGCTTCTTCAGGGTGTTACAACCCCATCCAGAGCCGAAGCTGGTCACCCCGTGAACGTACCACCGGCCGTCAGCAGCTGGGCAACTGAGGGGTCCCCCGGAGTCACCCTGAAATGTGGAGTGAACCCTGACCCTTCTGTTCCTCAGTCATCCGTGCAAATATACTTCTCTCCTGCCCTCTCCCAGGGAGGTGGCTGTTGCTTACAGAGCCCCCCCTGCTCAGGGACTGGATCCTCGGAGGGATTTCTCCCGCAACTCCCCTTTTGGTCCAGGCACGCAATGAAGCAGCAGGGGGCAGCCTAATCCCCCTCAGTCCCATCCCTGGAGGTTCTTAAGAAGAGACGGACTTGTCTGGAATGGCATAGGGACTCCTGCTCGAAGAGGCGGTTGGGCTAGAAGATCTCCAAGGTCTCTTCCGTCTCTGTTCTGATTGGATTGGGGTGGGAAGGCCAGGTCTGCTAATCCAGGAATGGTGATTCCAGCTTCCTTGGCCCCATTCCACGAACCCCAGACTGTATGTGGGACCCCTCCGGGCATCTACTCACGTTGCATCCGGATTTGATGTCCCCACCGGCACACACCATGCTCTGCTTGACGGAAGTCCCCCACCAGTCCGGCTGGGAGCAATGGGCATAGTCCACGACTGGCAGAAGCGCCTGCTGAAGGATGTCAGGCATGGGGCCGCCGGCTGGAAGAGAAAAATCCCCCCCACACCCCTGGTGAACGGCTTCGCTCTCTCCATGGTTGCCCAGTGGTTAGAGGGCAGTACTGCAGGCTAACTCTGCCCACTGTCAGCAGTTTGATCCTGACTAGCTCAAGGTGGACTTAGCCTTCCACCCTTCCGGGGTGGGTAAAACAAGGACCCAGATTGTTGGCTGACTCTGTAAACTGCCTAGAGAGGGCTGTGAAGTGGTAAATAAGTGCTATTGCTATTCCCGCGTGCACCTTCCCCCCAGCCGGGACCTACTGTAGAGCGTGCCCCAGCCAGTGATGTAGCAGGGAGCATAGTTGGGGAGCACCTCTCCTCGTGGGGGGAGGCACGCCGGCTGCACCTTGTCGTTGAGAACGGCTGGGCGGGAGAGTTTGATCAGGGCAATGTCGTCCCTGGAAGAAGAGGCAGTGACGGTGGTGAGGAGGGCGCTTTTTCCTTCCCTCCCCCTGGGATTTCCTTGGCAAGAAGACACCCACCCACTCCTGCCAGCCGCCTCCTTGGGAACAGGGACGGTTCTACTCACCCGCAGGCAATGCAGTTGGGGTTCCAGCCGGGGTGCACGAAAATGTCCTCGGGGTTGATCAAAATCTCCTGTTCTGTGCTCTCCACCTTGGCCAGGTTATATTCACCCAGGACGACTTTGTAGCGGAGGTGTCGACTGAGAGGGGGGGCAACAGAGTGAGATGAGGGGGGACTCTGGGCCTCCTTCAGCCCCCCATTAAGGAGTGGCACCTTCACCTGTGCCCACTCCCCTATCCCCACACCAGGAGCGCCAAGGTGCCTGAGGGGACTCACTGGATGCAGTGCCCGGCGGTCATTACCCAGTTGGGGTGGATGAGGCTTCCCCCGCAGGTGTGGTAGAAGAAGTTTCCAGACTGGTATTGCAGGGACACCTGCGGCAAACAAGGGAAGGGGTGGACTTGTTAATGTTGCCCACCCAGACCATCCTCTTCCCCCCTCCCAAAAACGCTCTTCATGGTCTGTAGCTGGGGTGAATGGCTTTTCTCCAACCCACCCCCCTTCTCTCTGTCTTTCTAGTGCAGCTACGGGGAGTTGCAGGGATCTCCTGCTACTTACCTGCCAGGGCCAGCTGTAAGGAATGGCATCTTCTCCGTTCACTACCCTCCCGGTTCGGACGGGGGGATAGGCGGGATCTCCACAGCCGTGGGCTGAGCAGAAGGGGGGGAGAACCACACAATATCGTCACACGGAGTTGCCTTCCCAAGGACCGTTTCCCATGGCTTCCAGGCTACTTGGCAAGTTTAAGACTGGTGGACTTCGACTCCCAGAATTCCCATGTGGACTTTGATTCCCAGAATTCCCGAGTTAAGATGGACTGGAGGAGGAATTCTGGGAGTTGAAGTCCACAAGTCTTAAAGCTGTCAAGAATGGAGACCCCCTGCTCTCCCTGGGTGGGCAGCCACACCCAAGACACTCCATGAGTGACTAGTCCACCTTGTGCGAGAGAGAGGTGGGTTGTGGGTGCCCAGCCGCTGCCACCTCTCCTGCAAGTGCCAATTCAACGTCTGAAACTGCGGAAGGAGAGCTGGTGTCCCTGCTTCTACAACAGCAGCCTGTCAGCCTGCCCCACCTACCCCCACCTCTTCACCCTCCAAGGGCCAGACCCCCCCCCCATTCCTGGGAGTCTGGGCTGATGTCCAGTGGCCTGGGAGAAAGGAAAGGAGATCCTTCCAGCCCAGCTGAAAGAAGCAGGAAAAGCCAACCGCCAGCATGGGGGACCCTCATTCTCCGGCTTTTCCGGAAGCCCAAGAAGGTGCCAAGTGCCCCTGCCCAGGTGCTGGGCTTTACCCTCGGCGGCCAGGAGGAACGCGACAAGGAGCCTCCACATGCTGATGGCAGAGTGACCCTCTG